ACTGACACATGTGCGAAAAAAAAACTGACGAAGTATTTCGCAATAACAGAAATGCCTTGGTTGATAAGAAAAGTTTGCTTTTATTCATTAACGTCACATCAATGATGTTCTTTTTTATTTTTGACAAATTTTATCATTCATATGAATTACGATGAAAAATTGAATGAAAAGTGAAAAATTTCTAACAGACCATAGTTATTTTCTAAGAATAATTAATTGCCAGGAAAACAATTTTTACTGATGCTCTATTTTTTGTTTGCCTTGTTTTTCTTAACAAGCCTTCCTTGCAATCGATTTACCGCTTAGAATGGATCGTTTGGCCTGAAATTTACAGAAATGAATGATCTTAGTGAGAAATGCTTATGGCAAAAATTTCAGTCCGATATGTTGTCATACTAGATCGAACTTTCAACTTGTTTATGTGACTTTCAGAAGAATCATTATAACTTCATCACTATAAGAGGTACAGAACTCGAGTTGGTTTCAAATTGCAGCTAACCTCTGTGCGCAACTTTTATCCAAATAGAATTTTGAAATTTCTTTCCATTCATTTTTATGAACATTTTAATAGATATGGTGTTCAAATAAGCACAGAAAAAAGGTGACCCTCACGATACTAATTCCACTTTTCGCAAGTTAGGAATACCGTATATACATAAATTCTGGTTGAACAAAAGTTTACTTTCATTGAGGCCTTTAACACAAAAAAAAAATATTAGCTATACTTTGAATCGAGTAGGAGTTATTTCAATTTTCCTGTCTGGAAATCATGTTTTGAGAAAAATGCTAATGAAATTCTAGAGAAATGGATTTTTTCATTCAAATCCAGATAAAATCATATATTACAATTACATATTTTTAATACATTTCAGTGGATTGTTTTAAAGCACATAGCAGATAAAGATAGCTAACGTTATCTGTCATGTTGGCCGATATAAAAAAGTTCTATTCAATGCTAATATAAGTGACAACACAGTTTTTTCAAAACAGAAAAACTTTACATAACTACGAAAACTTTTCCGAAAACATAATAGTAGAGTCGAAGTTTCCTGTATTAACTCTTCGTAACTCTGGTTGTTTTGCAAAAAACTATATATATTCTGAAAGAAACAGCTTTAGTGCATCTTTCTATGACAAAAACTCAACTTCGATATTTTTTCGAAAAATTGAATTTCCTAAGGGCCTTGTAATTGAACATTATTATTATTTCAACGAGTTACATGAATTTCGGCCCAAGGAATTTTCGTCCCGGACTTTCGGCCCGGAAAAAATTTCTTTTTTTGTCTTAAAATCCAATTACACTCAGTCTAATATTTATTTTGTATCGGGACGAAAGTCCGGGACGATAGAAAATAAATATTAGACTGAGTGTCATTCGATTTTAAGATGAAAAAAACTTTTTTTCCGGGCCGAAAGTCCGGGACGAAAATTCCTTGGGCCGAAATTCCGGCCTCCCATTTCAACCATTGATTTAACTGACAATTAAGCTTCCTGTACAGAGTGGTTAAAAATATTTTTCCAGAAGGGTAACACTGTGATGTTAAATAGAGTCAACAACAAATTTTTATATCAAATGAAAGCGCGTCAAAAATGGGATCTACTAGTATTAAATAGTAAAGGTTCTACAAAAATTTTTATATCAAACATCATAAATCTCTAGAAACAGGATACATAAATATGGTTTTCTATAGGGTATTGCTGTGATTTTAAATAGAGTCAATGACAAATTTTATATTGAATGAAAGGGCATCAAAAATGAGATTTGTCAGTATCAAATAGTAAGGATTCTGTTAATCTTTTTATGTCAAACATAACAAATTTCTAGAAATTTTCGCAGCGTCACTTCGTAGAAAATCATCAACTTGAATCAAATTTAATTTTTGAATT